GACCCTAAGGTGAGTGGTAGGAAGATTTGTCCAGCCTTCCTCTGAGGCTGAGAGAGAAGGATTTGTCCAAGCTCAGCAAGGAGCTTCCATGGCTAAGTGGAGGCATCAATCCTGGTTTCCCAGAATCCTAGTCCAATACTCAACCCACTATGCTCCACTGGCTCAAAAATATTCAGAAATGGATCCCTAAGGCTGAGAGAGTGTGACTTACCCAAGGTCATTTAAGGCTGAGAGAGTGTGACTTACCCAAGGTCATCTATGCCTGAGACTGCCTCCCAGTCCTAGCCCAACATGCAAACCACCACATCATGCTGGCTGTCATGAAAGGAACTTACAGGTGCACAAAATACAACAGGAGGCTGGTTGTAATATTTTCCTTCTTTTGGAATCCATGTTCCTTCAAATCCAGAACTCCAGTACTGATGGTGAACTGCGATCTGCCTTTGGGTAACTTCAGAGGTTAATGGAGGAAACATCTGTTCTGCCTGAACATAAGAGAGAGATAGACTGCCCCAGTATATGGCCGGTCTGTTTACCAGCTGTGCCTCACATCTGTTTGTAAGCCTGGGGAGATGGAAGCATTTTGCAATGCAACTTAGGTCCATGGCAAGATTATCCACAAATTACCATGCATGCAAAAAGCTTGTAGCATCCCCACGTACAGTATCACCCCATACGCAACTCTGCTTCTGGCAGAATCCAAAGTGGACATTGCATATCAGACAAAAATGTCCAGCTGTGTCCTTAGGGGGGCCTGGCACAACCTAAGATATCAACAGGATCCTGTCCAGTCTCTACTGAGTTGCAAGCATCCATCAAGTCTTAATTTCTGTCTATGATGCCCCAAGTTAAAAAGAGAGGAGCCCTGATGGAAGAAATGGGGCAGGTGAAGAACGCTGGGATCTGCAGTTCAACAACATTTGGAGGGTGACAGGGTACCTGCCCCTAGATTTCAGGAGTATGTAGAGAGACCTTGTAGCACCTGTGAGAGTAGCTGAAATAAAGAAATTGGCAGCATGAACTTTCGTAGACTTCAGTCTACTTCCTCA